CCCCTCCCAGTTCACTGCACTAACAGGATAACTGACTGCAAACATGAATGAAAAGCTGCAGCAGCCGGATGTTTGCGTCTGTCTGTAGCGTCTCTGTAACGAGAACGAGGCAGCGAAAACAGATTAGTAGCACGGGGCTTGAAAACAGAATTAAACTGAAAATGATGCAGTTACTAATTGGAAAGAGTGAAATTTGTTTTTTGTTTGATTTCAATTTTATTTGAAGGACCATTCAGGTAATAACAAAACAAATGATTTTTTTTCCTTCGTGTTCAGAGCACAGCATGGCAGAGACACTCACTGTGGCCTTGCGGGTGGCAGAGGAGGCCATAGACGAGGCCATTTCCAAGGCTGAGTTCGACACCGCCAATGAGGTTATTTATGTTGTTCACATCTTATAAATAGTCCGTCATTATGTCAATATGTCGTTTATTGGTTTGTAATTTAAGTCTTCCATTCAGTCCTTTCATCAAGCTCCTCTGTAATCTGAAGTATCGGCTCTTTCTCATTGATTTAGTTTGACTCAGATTATGGAAAACCATCAGGATTATTCTGCAGTCCAAATGACAGTTTAATACTACAATATACTACAAAACATAAATAATACTTTTACTTCACAATTTAAGATTGCGCTTCATAACAAACTGTCTGTTTCTGGGAGCTGGTAAAATAACAAAGAATTAAAATGTATGAATGTATATTTCCCTTTAATCCCTGTATTGTATACTCTACATATTGTAAAGTACTTGAAGCTTTTGTTTATAAATCTGAAACCCCTCTTTCACAAGAGACACTATTGATCACTATAAACTTAATCTCCTTAAGACAGTTAATTCACTAACATTCAAGTGTTCAACAGGCTCCATGTCCTGACGATGTTATCATTGTGTATTTCATTAAAATACAGTCAGATTAGTAAAGCAATTTAAATCAGAAGAGCAGAACAACTGTGCTTCAAGAAAATATAAACTGCATCTGAAGCCTTTGTCTTATAGTTTTCTCAAATATTATAATAATACAATAGCTTTGGATTGACTATGTATGTTTTCCAATGTGGCTGAAGAAGCTTAATGCATGTGATATCTTCTATTGGGCACTCACAACACAACATTTCTTAAATATTCTAAATATTTATAACACCAGTATCACACACCACTATCTTTCTGAAATACTACTGCTAGAAACTGTATGTTAGTAAAGATTTATTACTCACTAATCGGTGGAAGGATCCTTTTTTAACTGAGTACAGCAAACACGTATGTTTAGAGGCGTAATCAGCTTATAGTGTGTATTGGTGTGTGCATGGTGCTGAATAGCTTTCTTATTTGTGTGTTTGTTTGTTTACTAGGAGAAGCAGAATGAGGCGCACTATCTGCGGGAGCACAGAGGAGAGCTTATTGAGGAACTGGCCAAAACTATTGTGCAGAAAGTAAGAAAAAAAAAAAAAAGATGTTGCTGCAAATGCTCACTTTGTACAGTAATATGTGTTATAGTGTGTAATTAGTTTGATTTACTGTGTGGGGAAAAACATGGTGTAATACTCCACAGCTGTTTTGCAACAGGGTGATGTGTTCAAATTTATAACACCAGCACATCTTAAACCAAAGCCATGAATTTTCTGTATGCAATATGCATTACTAATCATGTCTCTGTCTCTCTTAGATTATTAGTAGGAGGAAGACTTTGACTGAGATAAAGGCAGAATATGACCGGGATTGGCCTCTTGAACAGAACACTGACCTTCATCATCATCATCAGTCCACCTCTGATCAAGCCTCCAGCTCCCTTAAACACCAACCAAACCTCTGGGTAAAAAAAATAAAACACTAACAACATCATGATTTTTACATGCATTTACTCAAGTACGGCACTAATACTTATTATTACAGATTAAAGCAGTATTTCCTAACCTTGAAAAAGTGTCTATGCAGAAAAATGTCCCCTCTAAACTTCTCAGATGGTTTAATTTAAATAATTATTAAAGACCCAAACAGGTAAAATGATCCAATATTTCTCTCACATTCCCTTAAATTTATCTTGTTACCCTTTAGAGGGCCCGACACCGAGGTTGAAAACCACTGGACTAAACTAACAAACTGTATATGAGGTTTACAAAACTAGCTCCACCAGCTACAACAGTAAAATGCATCTTACATGTTAATGCATCAGTATAAATAATCTAATAACGTCTTGTATAAACTTATATATCAGTCACTGGGACCATTTTTCTGCAGAACGAGTATTTTTACATTCTGCTGACACTTTTATACTTTTACTTAAATAGGATTTTGAATTGAGCAGCTGTGCTATTGGTAAAGGTTGTCAAAACTACAGTATCAGTAGTAGTCAGTCAATACCACTTTTAAAACTATACATTACTATTATTCAATAGTATTAATAGTACAGAAGTTTTAAATAAACAAAATTTCTGCTGAACAGATAAAACAACGGAGGAAAAAATTGATTGAATAGTGTTATTTATAATAATGGTAATTATCATTAACTTTATTACAAATGTTTTGGTATGTTTTCAGTTACTGTTTTTGTACCAAAACTGTGTTCAGGATGTTAATTTAGAAATTTTTCTTTTTATGGTATCAAAAGATGTCTTGAGTGTTGTTGTTTTAATAGTTTTAATGTATCAAAGTTTAAACGTCTGTTTTTGTGACAATCTTAGTATTGGTACATTTGCTTTCCTGAGAAGGAAGAATAATGTTGTGTTTATCTGACTGCACTGCAACTCTTATCATCTGTATGGTGACATATGCTGACCTCTGCTGGTTATATGGCGCTACTGACTTTGATCTTATTGCTGACCTCCAGTGTGCCTGCAGAGTAACTGTGACACAACACAAATGTATTTTTCCACTTTCCAGTGATTTGTGTTTGTCATATGTCTCTTCTCAGAGGTCACACTCTGCATTCTCACTGTTGGACAATGACACTCAAGGTCTGATACAAGACTCGTCTCTACAGGGCTTAAAGAAGGAAGGAGGTGCGTCCGCTATGTCGACCTGGAAGAGTGTAGATCGGCTGGAAAATGCTGGTAAGATCTTCTTAAACACTGTGACAGGAGCTGGTTACTTTAATATTTGATTTACTACCAGAAGCAAATTCTGTTTTTCCTTAAAAAATGTATTAATTATCAAAGTAGCTGCTGATACATTTTCTGACAATCAAGAAATTAGTAAATTAGTCCCTCTAGGAAGTTGTGATCGCAACTGTTAACCAATCTCTGTGAATTCAGCACAACCTTGCAATTTTGTCCAATCAGTGTAACTTTTCTACAGATTTGACCATTTGTAGTTTCCTGTAAGTTTCACTGATCATAGCAGTTCCCTGTGCACAATGTTGAGCCATACGTCAACTACTAATGATTTTATTCTCACTGGGACAAGTTACCTTTGATTTTTAATGAATTATACAAAAAAAATTACAAAACAATGACATTTTTTAGAAAAGCTGCAGTGAAATCATATAAATAAACAAATAAAATGGAGGTTAAGAGGTCAAACATAAGCCTTTCTATTATTAGTGAGTTATAATTGATATAATAATCAATGTGAGCTAATACCTGCCTCCACTGTGTTTGTTTTTGTTTGTTTATGTTGCTGCATGCGTGACTGTACTTTGTGTGGTATGCTTGTTTGGCTTGATACCTGTGTTTGTGTGTTTGTGTGTGACAGACACACACACGCGCACACAACACACAAAGCACCACAAACCGACAGACACAACCACGCGCTACACAGCACACACCAAAGCGACACAGAACACAGGTATCAAGCCAAGACAACGCATACCACAACAATTTGAAGTACTTATCACGTATGCTGTAGCAACAGGTATACAAGACAAATAACAACACTGTCGGAGCAGGTATAAGCATCACATGATTAATTTGTATAGTCATGAATTTTGAATAGTTCTTAAGGTGTAATGGTATAATAGGTAAATGGCTAGTGATTGTTTGAAATCCTCTGAGTTAACCTCCTTATTTTAGTTTGGTTATGTGGTGGTGTGGGTATTTATATAGTTATCACTGCAGTGGCTAGTTTCTCAGAGAAGAAATGTCTATTGTGTTTGTATATTTCTTGTTTTGTATAATTTCATTATATAGATAATAAGAAGGCGTAATGTACTTGTTGATATCACGTGAGGGATATTAAGGGTGGTATTCGAGTTATTGAGGATTGGTGAGTGGGTGAGTGGCTCAACACGTGGCACCAGTGGATCATGTGTCGCTGAAGGATCTGAGTGTGATAACTTGACAGATTAGACTAAAGTCAGATGATGGTGTAGGTCTGTGTTAGAAGGAGAGTTAGGGGCACTGATTGGACAAAATTTGCAGAGAGGTTGTGGCTGTGTAGATGTCATCAGATGAGGTGGTGAGAGCGAGTGTCCGGAGTCTAGCAAGTGCCTAGGGATGGAGCTATGGTTACTAATTTCGTAGTGGATTGTCAGAGAGAACTGTATGTGCAGCAGGCTACTGTGGTGGAGGTGTGAATCTAATAGCTGCATGTTTTTTAAGGAGAAAAACAGAATTTGCTGTGCCTGGGGTGGTAGGTAGGAATTCAGGATTATATGTATAAAGTAACCAGTGGGGCGTGCGGCTGTCACAGGTGGGTTTGAAGGATAGATGCGTGTGATCCTGATTTTCAGCCGATCTACACTCTTCCAGGTCGAGGCGATAGGGGGACGCACCTCCTTCCTTCTTTAAGCGCCCTGTAGAGAGCGGAGTGCTTGTGATCAGACCTTGAGTTGTCATTGTCTGTACTAGCTGTAGAGGTGAAAGCGTGCTGAGAGTTGGGTGGGTGTGCCTTCTAGACGGA